CTCTCTCGCTCTCTCCCGCTCTCTCTCTCTCTCTCTCTCTCTTTCTCTCTCTCTCTCTCTCTCTCTCCTCTCTGCTCTCTTCGCTACTGGCTTCTGACGGAGTCTGGGTTAGGTGAGCCTGAGTGTGGGTGGGTCTGAGTATGGGTACGTCTGTGTGTGCCTGACTCCGAAGAAATGAATCTGAGTGTGAGTGAGCTTGTGTATGAGTGAGTCTGGGTGCGAGTCTGAATCCCAATGGTGCCCCTGGCAGTGTCTGGCGACTAGGAGGCCCGGGTCGACTCCTCTTTGGGAAGCCAAAATGCTGCCCCTGGCAGCGTTTGGTGACTATGAAGCCCCTGGTGGACCCCCCCTGGGGCTCCCAAATGATGCCCCTGGCAGCGTTTTGCGACCATGAGGCTCTCAAGAGAGACATGTTGGGGAGGCCAAACGGCAATTTTAGCTGAGACGTCCCACCAAAATCGGCGCGAACGGGCTCGTGAGATCAGCCAGGGTGGCTCCCCCTTGGGGCTCCCAAATGATGCCCCTGGCAGCGTTTTGTGACCATGAGGCTCTCAAGAGAGACATGTTGGGGAGGCCAAACGGCAATTTTAGCTGAGACGTCCCACCAAAATCGGCGCGAACGGGCTCGTGAGATCAGCCAGGGTGGCTCCCCCTTGGGGCTCCCAAATGATGCCCCTGGCAGCGTTTTGTGACCATGAGGCTCTCAAGAGAGACATGTTGGGGAGGCCAAACGGCAATTTTAGCTGAGACGTCCCACCAAAATCGGCGCGAACGGGCTCGTGAGATCAGCCAGGGTGGCTCCCCCTTGGGGCTCCCAAATGATGCCCCTGGCAGCGTTTTGCGACCATGAGGCTCTCAAGAGAGACATGTTGGGGAGGCCAAACGGCAATTTTAGCTGAGACGTCCCACCAAAATCGGCGCGAACGGGCTCGTGAGATCAGCCAGGGTGGCTCCCCCTTGGGGCTCCCAAATGATGCCCCTGGCAGCGTTTTGTGATCATGAGAGAGTGTGAGTGTGAGTGAATGTGACTGTGAGTGAGTCTGAGTGAGAGTGAGTCTCATCTTATCTTATCGAGTCCTATCTTATCTTACCTTTATTACCCTCTATCTTATCTTATCTTGAAATCTTTTATCTTGTCTTAGCTTATCTTATATCAACTCATCTTATCGCATCATATCTTGTCTTGTCTTATTACTCCATAGGCTGTCTTATCTTATATATTATCATACATTGTCATATATCTTATCTTACCTTATCATATATGGTGCTATCTTATCTTATTTTGTAGTATATTATATTGTCTTGTCTTATCTGGTGATTATCATTGGGAGGAGGGAGGCGCGAGCGGGAGGAAGGAGGAGGAGGAGGAGTGGGAGGCGTCAGAGTAATAACAAGAACCCCAATCCTTAGGATATGGGGAATAACAAGAACCCCAATCCTTAGGATATGGGGAAAATATTCCCCATATCTTCCCGTATTTTCTGGGTGTTTGTCTTCCCCCCTACTTCCCATATTTTCGGAGGAATCGACGATTAATTGTGTCTGTGTGTGTTTTTCCCTCCTGACCAACGTCCGTTCGGGACGATCCGACCACCCCTGGAACGCCCTCGGCGAGGCGCAGCCGCTGGAAGGCATCCCGAGGCTGGAAAGGCGTGGAGAACCGACGAAAACGCCCGAAAACCTCATCCCTCCCTCCCCCCTATCGTTGCCTCCGAGTGTACTCTGGCGTCGAGGCGTCCCCGAGATCCTGGGGCAAGCTCCCGAGGCGGTGGATACGGCTGTGCTCTGGCGATGCGCCCAGGTCGCTCTCGCGGCGCGGCCGGCCTCCTCGAGGCGGCAGTGCGCGAGCCCGCGGGGCCTCCTCGAGACCTCCTCGAGGCCTCCTCGAGGCCTCCTCGAGCCCTCCTCAAGGCCTCCTCGAGGCCTCCTCGAGGCCTCCTCGAGGCCTCCTCCAGGCCTCCTCGAGGCCTCCTCGAGGCGGCCTCCTCGAGGCCTCCTCCAGGCCTCCTCGAGGCCTCCTCGAAGCCTCCTCCAGGCCTCCTCGAGGCGGCCTCCTCGAGGCGGCGCCCGCGAGGCGGCCTCCCCAACAGGCCCTCGAGGCCCCTCGAGGCGGCTGCGGCTTCCCGTGGGCGCGGGCCTCCACGCCCGCGCCCCCCGTGCACTGTCTCGTCGCCAGGATGTCTCTTGCGCGGGGCCCCGTTTGAAGGGGAGGAGGAGTAGGAGTGCCAGAGTACACCTAGGAAGCCTCGACGGTGCTGTAAGAGGCCCTCCCGCCCCGCCCCCCGACGGCGGCTTGGGGGGGCGAAGGGTTCTGGGGCGCAGGAGCGAATGCAAGCCCGACCGATCGAGCAGCCGCCGCGCCCTCGCCGACGGGGCGCTATTTCAGCCGCGTGATGGCTTTCGCTGACGGCCATACCGCGTCGAATGCACCGGATCTCTTCTGACCTCCGAAGTTAAGCGGCGCAGGGCCCGGTTAGTACTGGGGTGGGGGACCGCCTGGGTCCCATATTTTCGGGTTTTTTGTCTTCCCCCCCACTTCCCATATGTTCCCGTACTTTCTGGGGAATCGAAGATTAATTGTGTCTGTGTGTTTCTTTCCCTCCTGACCGTTGGGCCAGGCCACGGCAGCGCTGGGGCAGGAACGCTGGCGATCAAGAGGCGCGATACTCCGAACCCGTCCGCTCCGCTCGAGGCTGTTCTCGGGCGCACGCTGACATGGATCAGATCCTAGAGCTGGTGCGTGGGCGCCAGATCCATGGATCGGGGAAGGCACATCCGAAACATGAAGCCAATGCCTCCTCGTTTAGCGACAGCGCGCGCCGACCTTGTATGGAACGGGACCCGTCACTAATCCACGCGCCTTCATCCATGCTAGCGTTCTCTCGATGTTCTCGGCTCAGCTCCGCCCCCGCCCTCACCCCCCCGCCCCCTCCGCTCTCACGAATGAATAGCTGGACCGCATCGCGGCCGATCGAGCCGAGGCCCGCCGGCGACGCAAGGCTAAAATGGCTGCCGCGCACCTGCGGCGTCACAGTTACGTCGACGGTGCCGCGCGATCCTCGGAACCCGTCCTCGGGGCCCCAAAACCGTGTGGTGACGGAGGGCACGGTGACCTCGCATTCCCCCACGACCTGACCGCGCGGTCCGTCGCCGCACGGCATTGGGACCCTTGAGACCCCAATCGCCCGAGACGTCCTGGAGAACGACCCGAGACCCAAAACCGCGCGGTGACCCCGAATCCCCCCCACTGACTCACCACGTGGTATGGTCACCACACCGTTTAGGGGGCCACCGACCCTCTGCTCCAGTCCCGCCTGGGCGGCCCGGACAATCGATCGACCGATCGAGACCCGTTTCGGCGGGCCTCGGTCCCGCCAGCCGCCGCTGGCGCATGCGCGCCGTTGGCGCCGGGGCCGCCGCCGCCGCGGGCGCCTGCGAGGCCGCCCGTTTCTTTCCTCTTGCTGGGCACCTTCCTCCTCCTCCTCCTCCTCCGCCTCCTCCTCCTTCTCCTTCTCCTCCATGCCTGCTCCTCAAAATTACGCTGCCGAGGAACCCCACATACTTATATTATGGCTGGAGTGAAGATAGCTGAAGTGAAGCATGTAAGAATGATGTTGGTGGCCGTTGCCACCCCCTGCGCACCCCCTATTTTGTCCAGAAAGTACCACGCCTGCTATGCCCTGGACGACCGTCGTGCATAGCGGCCGCGGTGAGGGACCACCACCTGCGCACCCCCTATGGTGTCGAGAAAGTGCCACACCTACTATGCCCTGGACGACCGTCGTGCATAGCGGCCGCGGTGAGGGACCAACCCCTGCGCACCCCCTATGGTGTCGAGAAAGTGCCACACCTGCTATGCCCTGGACGACCGTCTCGAATAGCGGCCGCGCTCGGGGACCACCCCCTGCGCACCCCCTATGGAATCGAGAAAGTGCCACGCCTACTATGCCCTGGACGACCGTCTCGGATAGCGGCCGCGCTCAGGGACCACCCCCTGCGCACCCCCTATGGAATCGAGAAAGTGCCACGCCTACTATGCCCTGGACGACCGTCTCGGATAGCGGCCGCGCTCAGGGACCACCCCCTGCGCACCCCCTATGGTGTCGAGAAAGTGCCACGCCTGCTATGCCCTGGACGACCGTCTCGGATAGCGGCCGCGCTCAGGGACCACCCCCTGCGCACCCCCTAAGTGTCGAGAAAGTGCCACGCCTGCTCTGCCCTGGACGACCGGCGCGGATAGGGGGACCACCCCGTGCGCACCCCCTATGGTATCGAGAAACTGCCACGCCTGCTACGGCCTGGACGACCGGCGCGGATAGGGGGACCACCCCCTGCGCACCCCCTATGGTGTCGAGAAACTGCCACGCCTGCTACGGCCTGGACGACCGGCGCGGATAGGGGGACCACCCCCTGCGCACCCACTATGGCGTCGAGAAACTGCCACGCCTGCTACGGCCTGGACGACCGGCGCGGATAGGGGGACCACCCCCTGCGCACCCCCTATGGTGTCGAGAAAGTGCCACGCCTGCTACGGCCTGGACGACCGGCGCGGATAGGGGGACCACCCCTGCGCACCCCTAGTCTCCTCGGCACGCCTGCTAGGCCTGGACGACCGGCGCGGATAGGGGGACCACCCCGTGCGCACGGCGTCGAGAAACTGCCACGCCTGCTACGGCCTGGACGACCGGCGCGGATAGGGGGACCACCCCGTGCGCACCCCCTATGGTGTCGAGAAAGTGCCACGCCTGCTACGGCCTGGACGACCGGCGCGGATAGGGGGACCACCCCCTGCGCACCCCCTATGGTGTCGAGAAACTGCCACGCCTGCTACGGCCTGGACGACCGGCGCGGATAGGGGGACCACCCCGTGCGCACCCACTACGGCGTCGAGAAACTGCCACGCCTGCTACGGCCTGGACGACCGGCGCGGATAGGGGGACCACCCCCTGCGCACCCCCTATGGTGTCGAGAAAGTGCCACGCCTGCTACGGCCTGGACGACCGGCGCGGATAGGGGGACCACCCCCTGCGCACCCCCTATGGTGTCGAGAAACTGCCACGCCTGCTACGGCCTGGACGACCGGCGCGGATAGGGGGACCACCCCGTGCGCACCCACTATGGCGTCGAGAAACTGCCACGCCTGCTACGGCCTGGACGACCGGCGCGGATAGGGGGACCACCCCTGCGCACCCACTACGGCGTCGAGAAACTGCCACGCCTGCTACGGCCTGGACGACCGGCGCGGATAGGGGGACCACCCCCTGCGCACCCCCTATGGTGTCGAGAAAGTGCCACGCCTGCTACGGCCTGGACGACCGGCGCGGATAGGGGGACCACCCCGTGCGCACCCACTACGGCGTCGAGAAACTGCCACGCCTGCTGCGGCCTGGACGACCGGCGCGGATAGGGGGACCACCCCCTGCGCACCCCTATGGTATCGAGAAAGTGCCACGCCTGCTACGGCCTGGACGACCGGCGCGGATAGGGGGACCACCCCGTGCGCACCCACTATGGCGTCGAGAAGCTGCCACGCCTGCTACGGCCTGGACGACCGGCGCGGATAGGGGGACCACCCCCTGCGCACCCCCTAGGACCACCCCTGCGCACCCCTTTATGGTGTCGAGAAAGTGCCACGCCTGCTACGGCCTGGACGACCGGCGCGGATAGGGGGACCACCCCGTGCGCACCCCCTTATGGTGTCGAGAAAGTGCCACGCCTGCTATGCCCTGGACGACCGGCGCGGATAGGGGACCACCCCTTGCGCACCCCCTACGGTGTCGAGAAAGTGTGCCCTGCGCGCTAGCCCTGCGTGCTCTGCTGTGCTCAGCTGTGCTGTGCTGTGCCAAGCTGAGCTGTGCTGTGCTGTGCTGTGCTGTGCGGAACTGAACTGAGCTGAGCTGAGCTGTGCTGTGCTGTGCTGAACTGAGCTGAGCTGTGCTGAGCTGTGCTGAGCAGTGCTGTGCTGTACTGTGCTGTGCTGTGCTGTGCTGAACTGTGATGTGGTGTGCTGAGCTGAGCTGAGCTGTGCTGAGCTATGCTGAGCAGTGTTGTGCTGTGCTGTGCTGTGCTGTGCTGAGCTGAGCTGAGCTGTGCTGAGCTGAGCTGAGCTGTGCTGAGCTATGCTGAGCAGTGCTGTGCTGTGCTGTGCTTGTGCTGTGCTGAGCTGAGCTGAGCTGTGCTGTGCTGTGATGTGCTGCGCTGTGCTGTGTTGTGTGTGTCGCGGGTGCGGCGCGGCAGGGAAGAAAACCATAACCCCACTAAGCATGTGGGGAATAACTCCTCCCTGTCGCACACCGAGGCTAGTCGGAAGGGCGGGCCGGGCGTTTCGCCTGAGACGTTTTTACCATGTGTGATCCTGAAGCTTTAAGATTGGCAACAGTTTCACATATTGAGGGCCTGCCGCTTCCAGAATGTGGTTCTCGCCTTGGCGCCGCGCACATCCTTTGTAAACACTCGAAACAGTTTCACGGATGGAGGGGGGGTCTAAGGCTCCCGCAATAGCGCTGCGCACACTCGTCTTAAATGTGAGGGCGGCTCCTTTTTTTTCAAAATGTGGCTATCGCCTTACTGCCGCGCACATTCACTTTAAAGCATTACAAAAACTGTTTCAAATTGTTTCATGGGTTTTCATGGCTAACGCACAAAAAGCGGTGTTCGGAACGATTCAGGATTTACAAGGCCCAACAGTTATGTTGATTCGCGGTGTTGGAGTCCTAGGAATGGTGTTCTGGCAGGGTTCTGGAACGTCAGGACGCAACAGTCAGCTTGACTCGCGACCGCGAAGTCAACAGAATGGTGATGTGGCACGCTTGACGTTTTACAATTGTCTCCCGACGGGGTCCAGCCCCCAGTGGAAATCAATCCATGCACGGACGGACGGACACCACGTCGAGCAAGGCTCGGCCCCGGAAGCCTGGGTGGCCAGCGCATCGGCGCTCAGTCGTAGATCATGCAGAATACAGCTTCCAATTCATGCCATGCTGCAGAGTCTGAAGCAAGATCTCTCCAACTGTTGGGTGAAACTTCCATACCTTTGCCGTTCAAAAAGGCGACGATATCATCGACCCATCGCTTGACGGGTCTGTGTGCCGGTCTGCCACGCGAAGGTGCGTCCAATTCTGCGTCCCACCTGTCGATCTTCCACGTCCACCTGATACTGTCTGCAATGGCCACTCGCTGCGCCCACTTCCAGACCCGTTTCCTCCATGCAACCATCCAGCTGTCAACGCGGCTTTTTCCCATTTGACGTTCGACAACTTGCGTTGTTCTGCGCACCCACGAGACCCATGACTCCAACTCAAAGTCGCCATTGCTGGTGTCATCTCGGCTTGGCTCCACATCAGAACTGCCACTGTCAACTTCTATGTCTCTGCCCTCTTCTATCCGCCTTCCTGCCCCGAGAAGCATTCGCAACATTTTTCGCAGTCCTTTGCAACTTCTGTTGCTCCGGGCGCGATACAGTCCAATATGCAGATCCATACGCTACTGCTGGTGTAACAACGCTAAAAAGTCGCAACCTTGATGCCATATAATACTTTATACATGTAAGCTCGGACTTGTTGGCCATGAGAGCTTCACACGCCTGGCGGATGCGGAATTCAAGCTCAACCCCGGAATCCTTCTTAGATCCCAGCTGTCGCCCCAAATATTTGACCGTGTCCCCCAGCTGCAAAATTTCGATGTGCATGTCCTCGATCATGACGTACTTCGACTTCCATTTCGCATTTGTGGTGTTTGTTAATACTTACGTGCTTTTCTGTATGCCATGATAAACCAACTGCTCCTGCGGTGATGGAAGTATCTCTAACCATAGTCTTGACCTGCGGCAAAGTCCTCGCGAGTAGCAGCACGTCGTCGGCGAAACGCAAGTTTGTAAGCCTTGGTGCACCAGTGACTCCCACTTGAAATCCATTTCTTGCTTTGTGCCATTTTGCCTTGACTTTCCGCATGATGTCCTCCAGGAGGCAATTGAAAATGAGCGAACTCAGCGGATCCCCTTGCTTCGTGCCCCGCTCGATGCTGAAGCTTCGGCTGAAGTGTCCGTCTTGATTTTCGCCGTCCGACCAGTATACAGCTGTTTCAAGATATTGATGTGAGCGATTGGGACGTTCTGCTTATACATGGCATTCCAAAGCGCCTGATGCTCCATTGAATCAAAGGCCTTCTGGAAATCAAGAGCTGCAAAACAAAGTGGTATTTGAAATTCGCCAGTCATCTCTTGCAACATCGCCGTGGTAAATAAGTGATCGTCTGTGGAATAATCAACTCTGAATCTCGCTTGGTCTGGGCTTTGGCCTGGCTCCAGCATTGGCAACGATCGGGTATATAATAAACGTGAAAACACTTTGTACAGCAGCGGAATGATAGAGATGGACCGGTTGTTTTTTGGAAGGCGTTCATCTCCAAATTTGCGAAGCACTTTGGTCCAAGAT